CAGCACTCCCCAGCCAGCCCCCATCAGGGAGATGGTCATGCCGCCTCTGTCTTCCCAGCACGCCTCCGAGGAAGAGATGCACTACCACCACCCAGCGTGCCGGGGCTCGGCTCCTGTGCAGTCCGACGTGCTGGTCATGCAGCCAGACTACCGCGTGCATCCGACCGGCATCCGGCTCGATCAGTACAGCGTTCCTCGCGACGTGAGAGTGATGATGCACCCGCACATGGCTGGAGTGGGCAGCGAGCATCACCCAGAGTCGCGGCAGTCCAGAACGCCCGAAGGGAGATCTGTGAAAACGCCGCCGGCCACCAAGGCAGGCAAAGAGACGGCCAAGGCCTCCGAAGTCAAGATGGCCCACTCGCCCCACAACGAGCCCCGGCTCCTAAGCGGCCAGCTGCCAGGACTGCCTTTGACCCAGCCGGTGGTTGTACCTCACGGGGTGCAGATGATGCACCCCAGCGGGACTTCCTTCCACGATTATCGGCCGGTGTACGGCGACATGCGAAGCTACCACCCAGCCGCTCAGCTTGGCCACCCTCCGTTTTCTGGGGGATCACCGATCGGGCTTCCTTCCCGGAGCATGACCCCTTCCCAGGTAAGCCCGGGAGCTTGGTTTCTGCCTCAGGCCAAGGCCTTCGTGGGTAGGCAGGGGTGCCCTTGGTCAGCAGCCAAAACCAGCCACCTGGGACCCATCTGTCCCAGGATAGCCACTCGTGGGCCCATCTGCTCTCTTTATCATGTTTGTCACGGTGGGGCTGCAGCTGAGGGTCCAAGGGTAGGACATGCACCTCCCGAGAGCAATTGGTGCGAACAGCCCAACAGCCAGGGAAGGGTGGGTGGGTGGGCTTCCTGCTTTTTAGCGGTCGTGCCCAAATTGCGCCAAAAGCAACCTTGGGGGTCTCCTTCCCCTTGCCTGGGGCACTCCCGAGAGGGCGTCCCCTGCTTAGCCTGGGCTGAAGGGCGGAGTGGGGGCACATGGCAGTGCTGTGGGGAGAGAGCTGCCTTGGGGATTTGGCAGAGGGTCTTCGGATGAAGGGGAGAGCAGGGCTGTCTTGAGTAGGCCTATGCCTGGCCCTGCCTAAGAGCCAGAGGGGCCAGTGTACGCATGGGAGGCTCCTGCCTAAGGCGTCTCCTTTTACTCCCATCTCCCAGGGTCTGCCTGAAGGGGAACATTCACACCCCAACCAGCCAGCTCACAGCAAAACCCCTCAGATCTCCCAAGAGCCCAAAGGAGCCCAGTCAACGGGGCCAGACCCCTCCCTCCACCCCGTGGTCAACAGGCATGTCCAGCAGATGGAGCCCCACTTGCACCCGAGCCAGACCTCCTACCCTTCTCCCGTCGCCGCCTCAGTGAAGCAGGAGCTCCCATCTTCCCACCAAGCTCAAGTTCCGAAGCCGGCCCTCTTTATTCCAACCACTGCCGGTCCTGGGGCAGCTCCAGGGCTGGCCTTACCCCGTTCCGAATCGCAGTCGGCCTTGAAACAGGACTCTGTCGGTCACTCGGTCGCCCAGAGGCCAGTGGACATGGTCCAGCTGCTGACGGTGAGTCGGCCATCTCTGGAAGGGGGAGAAGGACAGATCTTGGGACTTCTGAGGAGAATCGGGGTGGGGGGGTGACGAGAGTGGCCCTTCTTTTGCAGCTCAGCCTCTGGGGATTAACCTTCCTGTGCTCTTCCTTGGCTTGGCAGAAGTACCCCATTGTGTGGCAGGGGCTGCTGGCCTTGAAGAACGACACCGCGGCCGTCCAGCTGCACTTTGTGTCCGGGAACAACGTCCTGGCGCACCGCTCCTTGCCGGCCCCGGAGGGTGGCCCTCCTCTGAGGATCGCCCAGCGGATGAGGCTGGAAGCCCCCCAGCTGGAAGGGGTAACCCGCCGGATGATGGTAAGAATCAGGCCCCGGGGCTGAGCCTGCCTTCCTGTTTGGCAAGGTGCCTCTGCCAGTCTTTAGCAACCCTTCTAGGCCTGTGGTTAACGCTGGGGGTGGCGCGGGGGGGGAGGGAGGGACTATGCGCCGAGCCCTTACTTTTATAAAGGCAATGGTGCAAAAACCGCCCCAGTAAGAAGCTCGCCCGCTTCTGCCACGGCCGAGTTCAGAGCCTCCACCTGGAGCGGTGGGATTCTGGAGTGAGAGCCGGAAACCCCGGAGGAGGTTCGTCGTTCAGGCTCTCAGCCTTGGCCTTGATTTCCCCGTGTTTGCAAGGTCAGTAAGGATGCAGGTGGAAGGACCCAGGTCCCTGGCTTAGAAAGGGGCAGTGATAAGATCGGGCCCATTTGCAGCAATTCCTCCTCACTCCTCCCCAGGTTTAGGATAGGCTCTGTGTGTGTGTGTGTGTGTGGTGAGGAAACACTTTTGCAAGTCACAGAATTCTGTGCCCAGAAAATAAAAACGCCTAATTATTGCAAGCATCCCGAGGCTGCTCGTTTTCCGGGTCAAAATGGTTCTTGGGTTCTGGAGGTGCCCGAGGGACGTGATCCTCAGGCCCGGGGGCTGCCTGGTGTCTTTCAGGTGGAGAGTGACTACTGCCTGCTGCTGGCCCTGCCCTGTGGCCGAGATCAAGAGGACGTGGTGAACCAGACCGAGTCGCTCAAGGCGGCCTTTATTAGCTATCTACAGGCCAAGCAAGCGGCCGGCATCATCAACGTTCCTAACCCTGGCTCCAACCAGGTAGGAAGGGGGGGGAAATCACCCTTTCCTTTGTCTCCTGCATCAAAGAGAAGGACATGGCCCTGGCCTGCTTGGACATCCTAGGGAAGGGGTGGGCGAAGCGGAAGATGGTTCTTGAAAGGTGGCCGTTTAGGCAGGCCGAGCGGAGGCAGAGGTGGCTTGTCCAGGATGGCAAGTCTTTGGGGGCTCCGGTTCTCCGCCTCTTCTCTGAGCAGAGCCACCATTTCCAATAAGTTTGGGATTCTCAGAGCTCAGGTGGGCAAGCAGGTGTCCAGCAGGAGGAAAGGGAGCCGGCGCCAACTGCTCTCGGCTCCCTTGTCAGGGTGGTTACCAAAGGAGTCATGCGATGCAGAGAACAGCCTGTGGGATTCCGTGGCCAGGGCGGTGTCCATGCCAGCCTTCCGTGTCCTGCCAGGCCAGGGGCACAGTGCGTCTTGAGCTTGCTTCCCGCCGCGCCGCTCACCGGCTGCTCCGGCCAGGCTTTGGGGGCTCACGGTGTCGTGTCCGCTTCTCTCTTCCAGCCTGCCTACGTTCTCCAGATCTTCCCACCGTGTGACTTCTCCGAGAGCCACCTCTCCCGCCTGGCCCCGGACCTGCTGGCCAGCATCTCCAACATCTCGCCTCACCTGATGATCGTTATTGCAGCTGTTTGAGCGACTCAGTGGGAACAGACGTTGCCCTCCCTGGCCCCGTGGCAGGAGGAGGAGGAGGAGGAGAGAGAAAGCGAACAAAGGAAGGGACTGGATCCTCCCATCCCGCTGGGCCTCGGTCAAACCCTCATCGCGGGCAGGCAGGCAGGCGGACGGGCGGGCGGGCAGGCAAGCAAGCAAGCAAGCAAGCAAGCAGGGCGGTGGTTCCCACGGCCTTGAATGTTTACAGACTGGGCTTTGGTGAAGATGGACTTCGGAGGCACCCCAGAGGCAAACTGAGCCCAGGTGTGCGTTTGTGTGTGTGGGGGGGTCTCTCCTCCTGGGCCTGCTTTTTGTTTTTGACAGCTGGCTAGAGAGAATGAGGAAGAGGAGGAACCGGAATTGACTTTGCACTAAAATTTGCGACTTTGGACCTTTGCACAGTTGAAGAGTTGTTGTGGTATGCTAGATGGATGTCTCAATACACACACACAGCAGCTGGCGGCGTGGACTCAGAACCGCAGGACTTTCCGCTCCAGTCTGTGGGTCAAGGAGCATTTCACGCTCTCCAGAAGCCCCCCCTCCCTCCCCTCCCCTCCCCCTCGCAGTTTCCCTACTCCATCCTGGATGTACAGTTTACACTGAACGCAAAGCATAAAAAGGAGAGCTAATTTGTCCTTGGTGGTATTATGCAGGACTCCGTGGGTGTGTGTATATATAAATATATATATATATATATATAATATTTTATATATATATATGTATGTGTCTGGGTGTGCGTGTGTATGTATATATGTATATGCACACACGCATATATACACATATATATACATATATATATAAAAACTCTAAAGAAATCTGATCCCCACAACATACTTTTTTTTTAATCTGTGCCAAAAAAAAGATGTGTTTTCAAAGAAAATCTTATTTTCATACTCCGACTTTGTATTTGTCACTCATTTGTAAGTGCGCTTCATTTAGACCTGGGCCTCTCCCCCCTCCCCTGCCTTCGCTCCGCCCGCGGAAGGTTTCACCCACTGTACAGACTTTTTAATCTGCCTTCTCTCCGATCCTTCTCCTCCTAAGACTTAATTTATGGAACTGTTTTCTCAGCGCAGTTTTGTTTTGTGTGTCCATTGGAATACAGACTTTTTATTAAAAAAAGACAAAACACCCTGGTGTTCACGGTTATCTGCAGAAAAGTGGGGTGCCTAGGCCGCTTTGGTGCACCTCCTCCCTTGAAGCAGCGGCCGCAAACGTCTCCTTCCGACAGGAGCCTTGGCTGGCTTTCCAGATCTGGTGGACGGAACAAAACCCTCCCGCCGTGTTCTGCTGGGAAGACCGAGCGAAGAAGCTAGGAAACCCTTGGCTGAGGAGACCAAACTCAGCCAAAGCAAAGTTTTAATTTCAAACATAGAAAATAACAGCCTTTTATTTCTTCTCGCTATTAACACAGATGTAAGTCTCTCCAATATAGAAATATTATTATTTTTTTACATCAGTTTTATGTAGCACTCGTGGCTTTAAATAGCGGGTTGTGAGCAGCACTGGAGCGTCCAGAGCGATGGGAGGTGGCAGCTGGCGGGAGCAGAGCTTCTCCCAGTCCTCCCCCCCACGGAGCACAAGGGGGGGCTCTCCAAGCTGACCGGGGGGGGGGGCTTCTCCTTTGGGCACCCGTCTTCAGGCGGCGCAGCATCTGCCATCACTCTCCAGCCGCCGGTGGGGCCTCCGGCAAGGCCGGCGACGCTTCGCTGCCATCCCGTGCCTGGAAGAGTAGCTCTCCCGATGGGATGACCTGCTCGCCGTGCCAAGCGGTGGTAGCGCTGTACTGTTGGTAAAAGTCTGTGTCCGCCTGGAACATGACCAGGGCTTGGGCTGTGTGGATGCGCACGTGCTGAGCCAAGCTGTTGGCATCCAGGAACTTCTCCCCGCAGGAATCGCAAGCGTAGAGGATCTGGGTGTTGGGGTCTAGAACGAGACAGCCGGGGCGGCAGCAAGACTTCTTGAGTTTTGGAGCACCCTGTCGGCCCCACTTCCACCACCCCCTTCCCCAATTCCATTTCCTCCATCAAGAAAAGCTTCAAAAGTCTGCCACAAAGCCAGCGTCCTCGTCCTCTGCGACTAAAAGCCTTCTCTGTTTCAGAAACAGCTCTCTGGATTTTTGCCTAGTAGGGTGCTGCCCCCCTGTGGCAGCTTTGTTTGCTTGGGAGAAGCTGCGTGGCCCGCCCCAAACTCTTCTCCCCCCCCCAAAACGGAGGGGCGGCCGAGACGCACCTGCCTCTTGGACCTGTTTCACGGCCTTGGTGATCTCCGCCTTGAGAGCTTCCGTCTCGTCTGCGGTGACGGGCGCTGCGACGGGAACAACTAAGGAGAGGATGTCCCAGTCAGGATCGCTCCCAGGTAAGAAGGCACGGCCGGCCGGCCGCTCTCAAGAGGCCCCGAAAGCGGCAAGGCATGGGGCAAGGCAGGGTACAATTACACACACACCCTGCCTCCCCCTTCTTCGGTCCAAATAGGTTTCGGGCGTAAAGGTTTCACCTGCCAGGGATGTGACACAAAGGCTTTGGGCCAGCCGGATGAGCGCAAAAAAAAAAGATCCCTACCTTTATACTCACCAGTGAGCTGGGTGACGGCCGTGGCAGCCAGGGCTTCCGTGGCCAGCGTCACCATCTCCTCCGAGGCCACGGTGACAATGTTGAGCTCGTCGTCTTCGCTGGGCTCCAGGAGCTTCATCCCCGCTTTGCCTTGGTGGACCGTCTTGACGTGGGAGCGGAGATTATCCACCCGGTTGAAGCCGCGGCCGCATTTGTCGCACAGGAACGGCTTTTCCCCTGCGGCGGGATGGAGAGGGGCTGAGTCACGAGGGGCCAGGCGGGGTGCGCCTGCCGCCGCTTCAGCTGCTCGGGGTGGGGCCCCCCCGCCGGCTCCTCCCTCACCTGTGTGGATGATGAAGTGCTTGGACAGATCCCCCATGTTGACAAAAGCTTTGCTGCAGACGTTGCACTTGTGAGGGCGGATGTTGTCGTGGTGGCGGATGTGATTGGCCAGCTGGCTGGACTGGACAAACCTGCAAGGGAAGGTCACCGGGTCACAAGCAAAGATCCACTTGAAGTAAGAGCTGGCAGGACAGATCCAACAGGGACCGGGGGTGGGGAAAGCAAAGCTTGCGAGACTCTCCTCACCTTTTGCCGCAACGTTCACAAACGTAGGGCTTTTCCCCAGTGTGCTGGCGCACATGGGCTATTAGAGAGCTGGCCTGGGTGAAGGCTTTCCCACAAATTATGCACTGGCAGGGCTTCTCGCCTGCGGGGGGAGAGAGAGAGAGGAGAATGCAACCCCCGTTCTTGGGCCACGGGAGCCCTGACTCCCACAAATTGTGGACCTGTGTGGCAGAAATGGCATCTGTGGACAGCAACCCACGGTCGCCACGTGATAACGTGTGCTTTGTCACCGCGTGGATTTGTTCCAGTTTTGGAGGCCCAACGTGGCAGACTTCTGCGTGTTCAAAATGGTAAGATAATTTGAGACACAGACCAGACACAAATGGAGGGCCTTTGTTGAAAGATTGAATTTTTCAGGATTATAGCATCACAACGCAGGAAAGATCAGAATAACATGAGTATATATTTATACATATTTTAAAAAAGACCGATTGAACCTCAAAAACCAAATCTTATTTCCTGTCCTATTGAATGTCCCAGAGATGAGCCAAGGTCAGAGAACAAAGTTGTTGTTTTTTCTGTTTTCAGCAATGTTGTACCGCAAAAATGGAAAGCATTTGTTTAAAAACCTGGCTACAGATACACACCCTTGGTGGAGCCTGAAAAAATCCCTTGACATAAGGACTAGGCTGCATAGCAGCTGTCCATGCATCAGGCCTCTCCTGCCCTTTCCTGGCCCGCCGCCCTCCAGAGACAAGCTGGGCTGGCAGGTCCCTAAGGGAACTCCCCCTGCCAAGACTTGAAATCCCGACGGGACTTTCCGTTTCCAGGCTGGAGGGGGGAGAACGGCCTAAAGCCCCAGCATCCGTCGCAGAGGCCTCTTCTGCAGCCTCAGCTCTTGCAGACGCCCAGACTCACCTGTGTGAATGCGAACGTGCCGCTGGAGAGCCCCCGGGTCAGCAAACTGGCGCTGGCAATGGACGCAGATGTACGGTTTCTCTCCGCTGTGGATGCGGAGATGCCGCTTCAAGTTACCTGCAGAGAAGGAAGGTGGAAAGGCAAGGCCACTCGAGGTTGCCTGTGGTGGGGAAGCTGCTGCCGCTGTCGCCCCTGGTCCTGCTTGCGCCCGGGCCCCCCAGGCAGCTGGCCGTCGGCTGGCCCCCCCATACCTGAGGTAGTGAACTGCTTCCCACACTCGCGGCACTTCAGGGGACCGTCAGCTATGTGAATCTTCAAGTGGGCTTTGAGGTTCCCCACCTGCCGGCAGTTGTGAGAAGCTGGTGGTGAGAGACGGGCGGTTGTATTCCCCCCCCCCGGTCCCAGCGCTGCACCAGGCAGGGCAGCTAGTGGCCCTCGCCCTCTCCTCACCTGGTTGAACATCTTCTCGCAGTGAGGGCACTGGTGCTCTTTGTCGGTGTCGTGCGTCTCCAGGTGCCGCATCTTGGAGGTGGGGTCGGAGAAGGAGCGCACGCAGTAGTCGCACTGGTAGGGCTTCTCCCCGCTGTGCACCAGCTGGTGGCGCTTCAGGTTGCCCGAGGTGGTGAAGAGCTTCCCGCAGTCCTCGCAGCGGTACCTGGCCTCCCCCGTGTGGCGCTTCTTGTGCAGGTTCAGCAGGCTGAGAAGGCGGTAGCTCTTGCCGCACTCCTCGCAGCTGTAGGGCTTCAGGGGGCTGCAATGAGGGAGGGGCGCTGCCATCAGTCAGCCTCCCCCACGAGCCCGCGGGAAACAGCCTCGGCCGCCCCGAGAGACGATGGCCGGCCGGCCCCGAGACAGGGCCAGGTTTTCTGGGCCCAGAGTTGGCAGACAAGGGCAGTCGGGCTGACACCTATCTCCCTCCCAGGACGGCCCCCCTCCCCTTCCACCCGCCCTCTCTCCCACCTGTGGGTCTTCTCGTGTGCTTTACAGGCTGCAGGGTCAGAAAAGGCCTTGCTGCATTCCCGGCAGGAGAAGGGCTTCTCTCCCGTGTGGATGCGGATGTGGCGCTTGAAGTTGCCCGTGTGGGTGAATTCCTTTCCACAGTCCTTTGGAGGAAGCAAAGGCACCGCTAGCGCCCCTCGCCCGGCTGCCCAGCCCACGCGGCGGCCTGCCCTTGAGCGCTTTCCCGACTGGAGGCTTCCCAGCTGAGGCCCTTTCGCTGCCTGCCCACCTGCCAGCCCAACCAAGCTCAGGAGATAGGTGGGTGTTGTTTCTACTGCTAAGTCCGGGAAGAAATGCCAGCTGGACGCTTTCCCCGACTTGGGGCCAGGGAAAATCAAGAGTTTGGTCTGGAAAGGAAAGCGGGTCTGCAAGGTCACAGAGCACACCTCCCCCACCCCCAATTGAGGCAGAGGGTCTCCAACCTGCTGGGCCCACCCCTCTTTTTTGCTGGGCCTGCTCTTGCCGACGTTCGCCCTGTAGCTTCCATCCGAGGGGCTTTTCTCCCGTCCTCCCAGGTGGCTTTTAACTACAGCGCCTGAAGCTTTGGGAATGGCTCCTTCAACAGGGCCGCGCTCTCTCCCGGGGCAGTTCACAGGCCGCCCGCAGCTCACCTCACACTTGTGGGTCACGGAGCCGTACGCTTTGGACTCCGTCCTGTCGCTGTATGTCCCCGAGCAGAGCAGCCTGCCCTCTCCCCCATTCTCCTGCCCAGAGTCGGAGCCCCCAGACTCGGTCTCCTCGGGGACGCTGCCGTTGGTCAGCAGGTCCAGTTTGGGCTCGTCCGTCTCGCCGCTGCCCTCCGCCTCCGAGGGCGGCTCTTCCTCCTCTTCGTGGCTTTCCAGCTCCACCTCCATCTCCGCAGGGACTTTCAGCGTCGGAGGGTCTGGAGGAGCAAGGAGGCAAGACGGGGATCAAGGAGAAAAGGGCAGCTGATTTCCGAGACCGCCCTAACGCCGCTCAGGAGCCGACCGCCTCTTCGCTGCTAGGAGGGTTGCAAAGACCAGCCCCGTAAAGGAAACGAAGAAGCACCGCCGAGCCAGAATGCGATGGATTCACCATCATCGCTCCCTCGGAACGTACGTCAACCGAGAGGCTGCTGAGATCATGTCAAGGTCGTCAACGGCTCTGCTTCCCGACGTTGACGAGATCATGCCAAGGTCGTCAACGGCTCTGCTTCCCGTTTGGCACAATACTCTTTCTGCATCTCCTGATCCCAACGCACCTCCCTTGGGCAACTAAGCGTGACGGATTTTTTTTCCCTCTCTCAGTAACCTTACATCCCTGTCTTGGTGCTCCCCACCTCCCTGTCCCAAGAGGGAAGAGTGGAGGTGGGGGGAGAGGCCAAACTGCATCTCCTCCGGTGGTCCCTCAGTCCCCCCCCCCATTGTGCCTGCGTCTGGAAAGAAGCACAAAGCCGGCAGCACCTTTGAGACCCCAGCAGTCCAGAGGAGCAGGGAAGCAGGAGGGGGGGGGACTTCAGGAGAAGCCAGAGCGGGAAACCCCCGTGCTAATTTTTCCTGCAGTTTGCCACGATTCCTAACGGTCTAGCTTTTCCCGTAAGTCTGGGAGAGGTTTCGCTCGGAGGGAAACCCGGAAATAAAAGTGTTTTAAATGGCTGAAGGAGAGACGCATCCCTTTCTTTATGGCGGACCCAACAGAACTGCCCACTCAGAAGCTGGGCAGCGGGAGACGGGCAATCTCGGGCGGGTCAAGAGTTACCGCGGAACTCACACTGACATCATTTTCAACTTGCCACGGGTAAGGAAGAAGCCAGACCTGTTTGAGATTGTTAAGTTCTCTTGAGATCTGGGAGAAGCCCAGAAGAAGAGAAAATGTTGCTTCTCTCCAGCACTTTTTCCCACTGACCCTGTGGCTACGCTTCGGAGAAGAGACTCCTGGCCCCTACCTGGCCTTTGACCAGCCACGTTCTCTTTTCCTGCTACCGCCTCGTCCTTCGGATCCTCTCCGGGAAGGTCCGCTTCAGCCGGCTGGAGGCTGTCACAGGAGGTTGGATCCTCTGTCTCCCTGAGGGCTTCTGCTTTGTGCTTGCTGCTGGTTGTTTTCTCCTGCCCTGGGATGGGGGGGGGGAGAGAGAGAGGAAGCAAAAGCCACTGACCACTCCATTCAGGCCTCTCCAGCCAGAAAGCCAGCCAGCAGGTCAAGCGGTAGCAGCCTCCCCTCCATGGGGACCAGTCCAAAGGTGTGATCTAGCCTACCATGCTTTTGCCCATCAGCAGAGCTCGGCCTTCCTGTTTCCACTACATCTACAGAGAATTAGTTCCCGGGAAGGAGAAAGTGGGCATCAGCAGCTGGCCCAAGACTGCCAGCCCTGGATGGCCCTACCTGTTGCATCATAAAACTGTTAAATTTTTCTGGCTCAACAGATCTGTAGCTTCCCATCTAAATCATAGATCCCAAATGTCCAGTACGTTTAAGGAATCCCACAACAAAGATGATTAGGGGACTGGAGGCTAAAACATAGAAGGAACGGCTGCTGGAATTGGGTATGTCTAGTTTAATGAAGAGAAGGACGAGGGGGGACATGATAGCAGTGTTCCAGTATCTCAGGGGCTGCCCCAAAGAAGAGGGAGTCAAGCTATTCTCCAAAGTGCCTGAAGGCAGGACGGGAATGGAGGGAAACTAACCAAAGAGAGAAGCAACCTAGAACTAAGGAGAAACTTCCTGACAGTGAGAACAATTAACCAGTGGAACAACCTGCCTCCAGAAGCGGTGAATGCTCCAACACTGGAAGTTTTTAAGAAGAGACTAGACAGCCATTTGTCTGAAATGGTATAGGGTTTCCTGCCTGAGCAGGGGGTTGGACTCGATGACCTCCAAGGTCCCTTCCAACTTTACTACTACTATTATTATTATTATAAAAGAGTGGGCAAGCCTATATCAGGTGCATCGCCTCCACTCCATGCTTCCAATAAAATAACATGATGCTTTTGAGACCAGGAGAGCAAAACCAATCCTTTTTTCCCACCACCCCCTCTCAAAGACCCAGCCTCAAGCTAGGAAGTTGGGGTTGCATGTTGGCTAAGCCCTTGCCTTGCTGGTGCTTCCCTGTGTGTTCCAAAAGCCGTATTGCTTCCATCAGCTTGCCAATGTGACAGGCAGTTTGGCATCAGTTACAAAACGCCCCCTTTGTGGGATAGCCTACACCAGTGGTGGCGAACCTATGGCACGGGTGCCAGAGGCGGCACTCGGAGCCCTCTCTGTGGGCACGCACGCCATTGCTCCAGTCCTAGGCCTTCAGCTGGGTTTTATAAAACCTTTTCGCTTTAGGCCTCTGCCGCCGTGTGCAAAAAAAAAAAAAAAAAGTTCAATCAATTTCAACTCGCGGGAAAAAAAAGATCTTGCAAAGTTGGAATTGATTGATTGAACTTTTTAGTCCCACCCAGTCTGCCATTATCACTGCAGCCACGCCCACCCAATGGGCCACACCTACCCAATGGGCCACGCCCACCCGGCACTCGACGATGCATACGTGGGTTTTGGGTTGCAGTTTGGGCACTCGGTCTCTAAAAGGTTCGCCATCACTTGCCTACACACACACAAACACACACCAGTGGAAAAGCTGGCTCTATCAAACCTGCCAAAGGACAGCTGCAGAGGTTTCCAGGAGGGCCTGGCTGGAGACGATGGCTCCCCTCTGACAGGCCCAGAGTTGGGGTGGTCCTGGAGGCAAGAAAAGGAACGGAAGCCAAAGAGAGAAAAGCGTCCTACCAGCCACTGCGGGGATCTCCAGGCCAGCCGGTGCCGAGAGGGCCCTCAGCGCGTTGCAGGCCTGGACGACCTCCTGCATCTGAAGGAAGCTGCCCACGGCCAAGACGTCCTCCACGTTCTCCGGGTTGAGGGTCAGCTTGGCCGTGTACATGAATTCCAGCACTTGCTCCAGACCTGCAGGAGACACCCACAGCCAGAAGGTGAGTAGCCACAAATACAGCCCATTTCTCCCTCACCCACCCACCCAAAGCACAGATGCCACCTCCAAGGCCCACCTTAGTCAGGGCTGCTGTAAGCTGGACTGCCTTGAGCCCTGGAGGCTCTGTAGCTTTTGCAGCTACTGTACAGGAGAAGGGAGTGTGTGTGTGTGGGGGGGGTGTTTGGCATCCTATTCCTCACCAAGTCCACCTCCAGCTGGCCCCTCACTCTGATCCCCCCTCCCAGCATCATCTGGGGGGGGGACTGGGGGACTTTTGCTCTGCCAGCCTCCAGTCTGGCTCCCCGGTCAGGGAGGTCCCACCTGCCGCGTTGCTGATGTCCAGGTGCACCACGTCCTTCTGGTCGGCAAAGAGCATCCTGAAGTACTCGCTGCAGGCCGCCAGCACCGCCTTATGGGCCTTGAAGTCGATGCCGTCCACCACGAAGGTGCAGTCGCACAAGAGGCCCAGCTGCCGCTGCTGGTTCAGCTGCTCCAGGACTTGCTGGCTGTGCTGCGGGAAGTCCATGGCTGCGGAGAGAGGCGTCAGGGCGTCCCGCGTGGATCGCCGGTGCGGCGCCACCGGGGAGGGGGCCGAGCCCCGGAGCCCCCTGGCGCCTTCCTAGCCTGGCCTACCCCGGAAGGCTGTTGTGTCGCGGGAAAGGAAAAAGCCCCTCCCGCATCCCCGGCCTGCCTTCCCGGCGATCGTCGGCAGAGGGACCGCGATCGCGCCCCAACCCTTCCCGCACCCCGAGGAGGAGCGCTCCGCGCCGCCGCTTCTTCGCCCGATCTCGCCTGCGGGGACGGCCGGCCCCGCTCTCAGCCCCGGGCCCCGGCGCTGGGCGGGCGGAGGGAGCCCGGGGGCGCCGCCTGCCCTCTCGGCCCCGCACCTGCCATCCCAGGAGCGTCACATAATCCCGGCGGCGGCGGCGATGATCATGATCATGGTGACACGGAACAGACAAAGGGCGCCGCCATTTTGCGCGCGGGCGGAAGCGGCTCTAGCGCGGAGGGTGCCCGCTTTCTACGGCGCCGCGCGCGCATGCGCCGCGGGCCAGCTCTCCTCCCCGCCCGGGCCCGGCGCGCAGGCGCGTAGGCAGCCAGTTCCCGTCGCCATGACGTCGGGAGCCGCCCAGGCCGGCCAGGCTCGACGCCTGATGGGGCGCATGCGCTCTCGGGCCTCCCCTCAGGCCTCGCCCGTGCGGCGCCGGCGGCTGAGGTAACCGCGGCTGCCTCGAGAGGGGAAGCGCCTCGACAGCTGCCGGAGGGCGCGGCGGCGGCGGCTTGTGGGCCTCTCGTGTTTTGGCAACAGCGCGCGGGGCCGCCCTGTGGATCCTGTCAACAGCCGCGGCGGGCTACATTTCTAACCCCTCGGGAGGGCGTCCCTCCCCCCGCTGGCATCCCCACAGCGGCAACAACAGCCCTGCGAGGTGGGCTGAGGGCGCACCCCCCCACCCTCACCCCCCCCGGGCAGCAGCAGTCTTTCCTGAGGGGCTCATTTCCCCACAAGGGTTGGAGGGGGTGGGTGGGGAGAGGATGGTGGTCCGAGCCGCCCTTTGTCTCCCCCCCACCTGGGAGAGGAGCCCACTTGGCGACCCTGGAAGGCCTTTGTCAGGCGGCTCTCTATTTCCAGAGCATGAGTCATTTCTTCCTCTTTGCCTGGCCCTTTGGCCTTCAGAAACTGTGTTTGTGTGTGTGTGTTGGATGCAACACAAGGACAAAAGCAAGCTCCCTCCTTGCTCCTGCTTCTCTCTTCCCCACCCCACCCCCCCAAAAAAACCATACACACGTTCATGGAGCCAAAGTCAGCACGCGACTTGCGAGAAAGTATTTTACCTATAATTAAAAGTTTACAATGGTTTACATCAGTTTCATTCCCCTGGATTTGGAGGTGGGGTGCAAAGACAGCCGGGAAGGGGAAAAAAAACAAAAACAAAACCCAAATGGAGCATATGAACGTGTTAACGTTTTAACCTGAACGCTTGCAAGATGTATACAGCGATCCTAAATAAGTTCACCAGAGGTAAACTCCACTGCGGGATTGACTTCCTACCATATAAATTTCATATTGCATCCTCTCTTTTTTTCTTTTTTAGCGGTACGTCCCTCCGACAGTTAAAAATGTTAAATGGCTGGCTGCGGAACTGGAAAAATTCATCTCCAGCTGCCTTCCAGCTTTGCTGTTCCTGCTGTGTTCTTTCCCCTTTCAAAAAAAAGGGGGGTGGAAGGGCAGCTTTGGCCCATTTCGGCTCTTTGCCGGCATCCCTTTAACCTTCAGTCATGGATGACAAACCAAAACATCTCTTATTGACGGGGAACACAAGGACAGATCTGCTTTCCACCCCCACCCCCCCACCCAGCCCAGCCTGGCTCCCTGCCCGCTCTCCCGAACTGCTCCCGGAGCTCAGATTTTAATCTCAGTCCTGAAAGTTTGCTGCACTTGTTCAGATGGCTTGGCTGGACTTCGCCTCGCCTTGATGGTCAGGCAGCCGTCTGCTCCCAGGGTGGAGGTGACCGATGTGGGGTCCACATCTTCAGGGAGCTGGCATTTGTGGGTGAATGTGTTGACGATGGTCCCGTCAGCCGCTAGCTGCCCAGGGGAAGAGACAAAGAGCAGTTAGGGCCACAAGAGTTTGAATCCGGAAAGTTCCATGTAAAATTGCAATCTTCTGGCTAAATTGCCTGCTTGCTAAAATAAGGGGCAGCCTGTTCCCCGAATCTCTATGAAATGGGGAGATTTCTAGTGACGCTGCCAAAACTGAAGCTGGGGTGACTCGGCCCAAGAAGTCGTCCTCTTTTGCCAGCCTTGCCCACAGAAAGGGCAGCTGGCATCCAGAGAAAGGCTTCCAGGGTAGCATTTCGGTCAACATGGCCTGGCCGGCTGGGGAATGTTCCCATCACCATGTGCATCCCTAGCATAGTCAGAAGGGCAGCGATCCTCCCATCCCCCAGAGCCCTTTGGCTGCCATTCCTAAGACACTGCTCACTGTCAGAGTCCCTTGCCTACAGGCTTTGCCCCATTAACACTGCAGGGGGCACATCCAGGTGGTTTTGGGCGGGGAGGGGATGTTCTAGCACATTAATCTTTTTCCATGTACAAGCAAACCGCGAAAAAAAGTGCAACTCCTATAACTCTAGAAACAGTACAGAGAAGATTAACAAAGATGATTAGGGGACTGGAGGCTAAAACATATAAGGAACGGTTGCTGGAATTGGGTATGTCTAGTTTAACGAAGAGAAGGACGAGGGGGGACATGATAGCAGTGTTCCAATATCTCAGGGGCTGCCCCAAAGAAGAGGCAGTCAAGCTATTCTCCAAGGCGCCTGAAGGCAGGACAAGAAGCAACGGATGGAAACTCACCAAGGAGAGAAGCAACCTAGAACTAAGGAGAAACTTCCTGACAGAACAATTAACCAGTGGAACAACCTGCCTCCAGAAGCGGTGAACGCGCCAACACTGGAAGTCTTTAAGAAGAAACTGGAGAGCCATTTGTCTGAAATGGTATAGGGTTTCCTGCCTGAGCAGGGCGTTGGACTAGATGACCTCCAAGGTCCCTTCCAACTTTATTATTATTATTATTATTATTATTATTATTATTATTATTATTATTATTATTATTATTATTATTATTATTATTATTAATCTCCCTCTTCTTGTTAATTTCCACAGTAGGATGACGGTCCCAGGATAGGCAGAGAATCTGAAGATCAGAGAAAGCTAGTCCCCACAGCCATGGATCCAAGATGTTAGCTGCCTCAGCTTTTCTCAGCCGAACATCTTGGGGCTGCCCCACCCCTCAGCCCCAGCCGGATTGCTCAGCTCAGCTTTAAAAATGGCTCCTGGGGGCAGCTCAGCAGTAGCCACTCACCTTCTCCGCCCGCACTTCAATCTGGTTTTTGGACGTGGTAATAATGATGTCTTCGGGGGAGAAGTCGCTGACATCCACCGCAAACTGGTACGTATCCCCCAAGGTTCTGATGTTTCCCGTCCCGCCAGCCCGGCCTGTTGGGAGAAGAGAAGCTCTCAGTTCTCGATTCTAGCACTGGGACATATTGGCTGGCAAAAATTCTGGGGTGGGATCCCGGGGCCAGCCGGATGCACCATCTGGGCCTCCATTGGGCCTCCGCTGTTTGAGAGGCTGCGTGGCTGGGCTACTGAGCCAGGTCCCCCAAATCCCACCTGGTCGAGGGGGTACGCCCTCCCAAGAGAGCACAGACCAGCCTGAAGCTCGAGAAGTACCCTAGGACTCTGCAGCCCACAGGATTCCTAAGTGGCAGTGGCTGGACCCATCCCATTTCAAGCCATCTCTCCACCCCATCAAGTGCCTCTTTCCCCCTCCTGCCCGGGTTTCTCTGGTGTCTTTGCTAGCTCCTGTTCAGGAGACGGCCCTGTGGCTGACAGAGCTAAGAACGGGGAAAATCAAGCTGCCCTTGCTTGCCTTTGTGGGATGGGATGGACCGAGTCAGATGCTAGGTAGTTTGTGCGATAAACCCCCTTTATGCTCCTCTGCCTTTCACAAGTGCAGCCAGGCCAGGTGCAGGGAGGATATCGTGGGGCAGAATGGCGGGGCCTGAGTGCCCATCATTCCAGGAATGGTTGGTGTAAACAAGAAAGGGTTTACCCTAAACAGCGGAAACGATGACCTCTCCACGGTCACGCAGCTTAAAGTGGGAGCCTCGACCGTGGGGCTGGCTGGAGGAGAGCCAGGGGGAGAGACCCAGGCAGTCGAGAGACCCAGGCAGTCAGGGGTTAGAGGCCGCCTATTCAGCCCTCTCCCCACTTGCCTGAGAAGCTTCGGGGCTCCGGATGGGGCCTCAGGAAGCCCCCCAGCGTGCTGTCGAATATTCCGTGGGCCTTCTCCATGGGGCCGCCGCCTGCCTGGTCGTGCTCTGCCGAGGGTGCCGAAGCAGCAAACCCTAAGAGGGTGGCTGTCCGAGTGGATCGATGCTGGAGGAGCTGGGACCCTCGGCTCAGGTTGGTCTTCCTGCCAGCCCACAAGAGAACAGTTGGCGCTGCCCCCTGCGGAAGTCTCTCGCCCGACAGAGCCACCCGGGCAGCTGTGAAGCCTTTAAAAGCCTCGGAGCCCGCTGGGCTGCCTGCCAGGGACCTCGTCAAAAAGTCTAAATTTAGAGTGTTCTACAGCACCCGGCCAATGCCTCTGGAAAACTTCTCCCAGGCACGGGTTCCAGACAAACAGAGAGAGGCGGGAGGGGAGGCTGGCGACCAGCATTCCAAGCCTGACTGGATCGTCCCCCTGATTGGCAGTGGGATTGGCCTTCCGCAAGGAAGGGGAGAGCTTGGCACGGAAAGCTCCGGCTGGCAAGCATCCTGAAGGAGAGAGGGGCAGAGCCCAGGACCCCGTTCCCTCTAGGCGCACCCCAAACCTGAAGAGGGGTTCCCATTTCTCCAGGGGTGAGGTTCATTTCCCTGGCTGCAGCTCGGAGGGGTGTGCCCGGGCCCTCTTGCTTGGCACGGGCTTCCATGTGGAAGATGGAGACGGGAACAGGCCCTGCTGGCAAGCATCGCGCAACCTATCTGCAGAAACTGTCCGGGGGCAGCTAAACGCAGCTGCTTAGTCACTCTCCTCTCAGGCCAGTCTGAGTCATTGGGTCTGGGGCCTCCCGTGCCCTCTTTCCTCCCCACAGAACGAGACCCAGAGGGCAGGGCGTCCTCCCTGAGTCAGTTTCACCCATTGCCCCATCGCAGTGCAGCTCTTCTGGACCTTGGCCCCACTTCTGGAGTGCTGGCAGGAGGAGAGGGGCCCGGGGAGTCCCTGGGCAGAGACCCATTAGTTCAGAAATCACGCCCAATTTAGAAATTGGGGAGTACCTACTGATGCTTTTTGATTTTCAGGAAAAGGGGGGGAGGTAATAATAATAATAAAGTTGGAAGGGACCTTGGAGGTCATCTAGTCCAACCCCCTGCTCAGGCAGGAAGCCTGTCCAGTCTCTTCTTAAAAACTTCCAGTGTTGGCGCATTCACCGCTTCTGGAGGCAGGTTGTTCCACTGGTTAATTGTTCTCACTGTCAGGAAGTTTCTCCTTAGTTCCAGGTTGCTTCTCTCCTTGGTTAGTTTCCATCCGTTGCTTCTTGTCCTGCCTTCAGGTGCTTTGGAGAATAGCTTGACTCCCTCTTCTTTGGGGCAGCCCCTGAGATATTGGAACACTGCTATCATGTCCCCCCTCATCCTTCTCTTCCTTAAACTAGACATACCGAATTCCAGCAACCGTTCTTCATATGTTTTAGCCTCCAGCCCCCTGATCATCTTTGTTGATTTTTGTTGGGTGTTACATGCCTGTTGTTTTCTCGCTGCCGGAATGGCCCTCTGAATTCACCGTGGACCACATGGGCTCTCCTGCCCTGCAGCCTCTGCTCTGGGCCTCGCCCTATGAGTTCTCTTGACCTGCAGCAAGCAGCCCTCCCCCCCTCTCGTTGTCTGTCTCCTCCCCAGAGACTGTGCGAGTAGCTGCCTGCCCATTTGTAGTGGCTAGCCTGGTGAGATGGCAAGGATCGCGAGAGGCTGGCGCTGTTCCTGGCCAGGCTGCTTTGGGAGGAAGGGGTTGCAGCCCCTTCCAGCAATTTGGCTCTCCCGGTCTTGGTTCTGCACCCCCGTGGCTGACCTGGACCTCGGGAAGTGAGCATAAACTGCGATGGTGAGCGAGCTCTCGTGACCGAAACAAATGACCCTCAGGGGCGTGGGTGGCAAGGTGTGGGGCAGCCAGCCAAGTGGGGCTGGTTGCCAGCTGCCTGCCTGCCTCCCACCCCCACCCCTCGTACTGCTTGGTGAGATGGCTGGCTTGAGCTGGAATGGGCCTGCTGGAGGGCCTTTCCTGTGGGTCCCAGGGAGAGTTCCGGATAGTTAGAGGTCAGGGAGGGAGGGAGGGAGGGAGGTGTGGGAGAGAACAGGGAGGGCCAGGGAGACGGGCGTGTGTGCCTGTGCACCTGATCTGGTCAGGGCAGATGCAGAGGAAACCGGCTTCAGAGAAGTCGCCTTGACCCAGGAGCGGCAGGAGTCGTCTACAGGCACACGCAGGGGCGCCCTGACCCAGCTGAGGTGGAGTGAGTCTCCTTCACACAGGTCCCAATCGGGGCCGTTGAGGGGACCCTGGCTGTGTTTGAGCTGCGGGGTGCGGGTGGAGGAAGAGCGTGCATTGCTGTATGCCCGTTGTCTGGATTCCTTTAGTGTCTGAGGCTCCCTCAGGCAATACAATTCCACCTTTCTCGAGCGAAGAGCCCTTGCCCTGGAACCAGGCAGGCCAATCCTGTCAGAGGTTTGGCCCTTTTGCGGCTGCTGTGAGTGGAGCATCTTTGCAGGGTGGCCAGGACCGTTTGGGGGGTGGGTGGATGGGAGGATACCTGGGTGCGCGTTCCTCTTCCTTTCATCTTTTCAGAACTTTTGTCTTCCAGGTTTCACGAACAGGAGCCTCCTCACTTCTGTCCTGTGGTCAAGATCCCTACAAGCCACAGAAGGGGACAGCTGGGGACCCGTCCGTCTTGGTGCTTGCAAACAAGCAGCTCAGATCCTCCTCCTCCTCCTCCTCCTCCTCTTGGGCGGCGTCCAGCGCTTCCGTTCCCAGCCTCAGGGCATGGCTGCTGAGAGGCCAGAGAGAGCCAGTGGGGAGAAAGAGGGAGCCCAGAACAACAAGGAGGAGGAGGAGAAGGAGGAGACAAATGTGTTCCTGCCCTGGGAAGACAACTGGAGACCCTGGCCGAAAGCCCGGCGCAAGGTGCACGGTAGGAGCCTGGGAGAGCACACCCAGCCTCAAGAAGCATGGCTTCCACATTGGTGGCCCCAAAGTTGGAGGCTCTCCAGATGTTGCTGTTTCCCCAGAGGTGGTGGCCTCTCCCTCCATCCTTGAAAGAGGTTGGCATTACAATGGCCGGGCCTCTCTTTTGCCCCTAATTCCCAGCCTCTGCTGCCCTCTGCAGGTTGCCTGGAGTGCTTCAAGCGGCAGCTCTTCCGAGTCGGGGACNTCCACTGGTTAATTGTTCTCACTGTCAGGAAGTTTCTCCTTAGTTCTAGATTGCTTCTCTCCTTGATTAGTTTCCACCCGTTGCTTCTTGTCCTGCCTCCAGGCGCTTTGGAAAATAGCTTGACTCCCTCTTCTTTATGGCAACCCCTGAGATATTGGAACACTGCTATCATGTCCCCCCTCGTCCTTCTCTTCATTAAGTCCTCCTCTTTTGCCAGCCTTGCCCACAGAAAGGGCAGCTGGCATCCAGAGAAAGGCTTCCAGGGTAGCATTTCGGTCAACATGGCCTGGCCGGCTGGGGAATGTTCCCATCACCATGTGCATCCCTAGCATAGTCAGAAGGGCAGCGAGCCTCCCATCCCCCAGAGCCCTTTGGCTGCCATTCCTAAGACACTGCTCACTGTCAGAGTCCCTTGCCTACAGGCTTTGCCCCATTAACACTGCAGGGGGCACATCCAGGTCGTTTTGGGCGGGGAGGGGATGTTCTAGCACATTAATCTTTTTCCATGTACAAGCAAACCGCGAAAAAAAGTGCAACTCCTATAACTCTAGAAAGAGTCCCGAGAAGAGCAACAAAGACGATTAGGGGACTGGAGGCTAAAACATATAAGGAACGGCTGCTGGAATTGGGTATGTCTAGTTTAAGGAAGAGAAGGATGAGGGGGGACATGATAGCAGTCTTCCAATATCTCAGGGGCTGCCCCAAAGAAGAGGGAGTCAAGCTATTCTCCAAAGCGCCTGAAGGCAGGAGAAGAAGCAACGGGTGGAAACTCACCAAGGAGAGAAACAACCTAGAACTAAGAAGAAACTTCCTGACAGAACAATTAACCAGTGGAACTACCTGCCTCCAGAAGCAGTGAATGCGCCAACACTGGTAGTCTTTAAGAAGAGACTGGACAGCCATTTGTCTGAAATGGTATAGGGTTTCCTGCCTGAGCAGGGGGTTGGACTAGATGACCTCCAAGGTCCCTTCCAACTTTATCATTATTATTATTATTACTATTATTATTATTATTATTAATCTCCCTCTTCTTGTTAATTTCCATAGTAGGATGACGGTCCCAGGATAGGCAGAGAATCTGAAGATCAGAGAAAGCTAGTCCCCACAGCCATGGATCCAAGATGTTAGCTGCCTCAGCTTTTCTCAGCCGAACATCTTGGGGCTGCCCCCACCCCTCAGCCCCAGCCGGACTGCTCAGCTCGGCTTTAAAAATGGCTCCTGGGGGCAGCTCAGCAGTAACCACTCACCTTCTCCGCCCGCACTTCAATCTGGTTTTTGGACGTGGTAATAATGATGTCTTCGGGGGAGAAATCGCTGACATCTACCGCAAACTGGTACGTATCCCCCAAGGTTCTGATGTTTCCCGTCCCGCCAGCCCGGCCTGTTGGGAGAAGAGAAGCTCTCAGTTCTCGATTCTAGCACTGGGACATATTGGCTGGCAAAAATTCTGGGGTGGGATCCCGGGGCCAGCCGGATGCACCATCTGGGCCTCTGCTGTTTGAGATGCTGCGTGGCTGGGCTACTGAGCCAGGTCCCCCAAATCCCACCTGGCCGAGGGGATACCCCCTCCCAAGGGAGCACAGACCAGCCTGAAGCTCGAGAAGTACCCTAGGACTCTGCAGCCCACAGGATTCCTAAGTGGCAGTGGCTGGACCCATCCCATTTCAAGCCATCTCTCCACCCCATCAAGTGCCTCTTTCCCCCTCCTGCCCGGGTTTCTCTGGTGTCTTTGCTAGCTCCTGTTCAGGAGACGGCCCTGTGGCTGACAGAGCTAAGAACGGGGAAAATCAAGCTGCCCTTGCTTGCCTTTGTGGGATGGGATGGACCGAGTCAGATGCTAGGTAGTTTGTGCGATAAACCCCCTTTATGCTCCTCTGCCTTTCACAAGTGCAGCCAGGCCAGGTGCAGGGAGGATATCGTGGGGCAGAATGGCGGGGCCTGGGTGCCCATCGTTCCAGGAATGGTTGGTGTAAACAAGAAAGGGTTTACCCTAAACAGCGGAAACGATGACCTCTCCACGGTCACGCAGCTTAAAGTGGGAGCCTCGACCGTGGGGCTGGCTGGAGGAGAGCCAGGGGGAGAGACCCAGGCAGTCGAGAGACCCAGGCAGTCAGGGGTTAGAGGCCGCCTATTCAGCCCTCTCCCCACTTGCCTGAGAAGCTTCGGGGCTCCGGATGGGGCCTCAGGAAGCCCCCCAGCGTGTTGTCGAATATTCCGTGGGCCTTCTCCATGGGGCCGCCGCCTGCCTGGTCGTGCTCTGCCGAGGGTGCCGAAGCAGCAAACCCTAAGAGGGTGGCTATTCAAGTGGATCGATGCTGGAGGAGCTGGGACCCTCGGCTCAGGTTGGTCTTCCAGCCAGCACACAAGAGAACAGTTGGCGCTGCCCCCTGCGGAAGTCTCTCGCCCGACAGAGCCACCCGGGCAGCTGTGAAGCCTTTAAAAGCCTCGGAGCCCGCTGGGCTGCCTGCCAGGGACCTCGTCAAAATGTCTAAATTTAGAGTGTTCTACAGCACCCGGCCAATGCCTCTGGAAAACTTCTCCCAGGCACGGGTTCCAGACAAACAGAGAGAGTCGGGAGGGGAGGCTGGCGACCAGCATTCCAAGCCTGACTGGATCGTCCCCCTGATTGGCAGTGGGATTGGCCGTCCGCAAGGAAGGGGAGAGCTTGGCACGGAAAGCTCCGGCTGGCAAGCATCCCGAAGGAGAGAGGGGCAGAGCCCAGGACCCCGTTCCCTCTAGGCGCACCTCAAACCTGAAGAGGGGTTCCCATTTCTCCAGGGGTGAGGTTCATTTCCCTGGCTGCAGCTCGGAGGGGTGTGCCTGGCACGGGCCTCCATGTGGAAGATGGAGACGGGAACAGGCCCTGCTGGCAAACATCGCGCAAGCTATCTGCAGAAACTGTCCGGGGGCAGCTCGTAGCTAAACGCAGCTGCTTAGTCACCCTCCTGTCAGGGCCGTCTGAGTCATTGGGTCTGGGGCCTCCCGTGCCCTCTTTCCTCCCCACAGAACGAGCCCCAGAGGGCAGGGCGTCCTCCCTGAGTCAGCTTCAGCCATTGCCCCATCGCAGTGCAGCTCTTCTGGACCTTGGCCCCACTTCTGGAGCGCTGGCAGGAGGAGAGGGGCCCGGGGAGTCCCTGGGCAGAGACCCATGGACCATAAATCATCCCGGAACCCACTCAAAAGTTCAGAAATCACGCCCAATTTAGAAATTGGGGAGTACCTGCTGCTGCTGTTTGATTTTCAGAAAAAAGGGGGGGGGTAATAATAATAAAGTTGGAAGGGACCTTGGAGGTCATCTAGTCCAACCCCCTGCTCAGGCAGGAAACCCTATACCATTTCAGACAAATGGCTGTCCAGTCTCTTCTTAGAAACTTCCAGTGTTGGAGCATTCACCGCTTCTGGAGGCAGGTTGTTCCACTGGTTAATTTTTCTCACTGTCAGGAAGTTTCTCCTTAGTTCTAGGTTGCTTCTCTCCTTGATTAGTCTCCATCCGTTGCTTCTTGTCCTGCCTTCAGGCGCTTTGGAGAATAGCTTGACTCCCTCTTCTTTGGGGCAGACCCTGAGATATTGGAAGACTGCTTATCATGTCCCCCCTCGTCCTTCTCTTCATTAAACTAGACATCCCCAATTCCAGCAACCGTTCCTTGTATGTTTTAGCCTCCAGTCCCCTGATCATCTTTGTTGATTTTTGTTGGGTGTTACATGCCTGTTGTTTTCTCACTGCCGGAATGGCCCTCTGAATTCACCGTGGACCACATGGGCTCTCCTGCCCTGCAGCCTCTGCTCTGGGCCTCCCCCTATGAGTTCTCTTGACCTGCAGCAAGCAGCCCCCCCCCTTCCTCCATTGTCTGCCTCCTCCCCAGAGACTGTGTGAGTAGCTGCCTGCCCATTTGTAGTGGCTAGCCTGATGAGATGGCAAGGATCGCAAGAGGCCGGCGCTGTTCCTGGCCAGGCTGCTTTGGGAGGAAGGGGTTGCAGTCCCTTCCAGCAATTTGGCTCTCCCGGTCTTGGTTCTGCACCCCCGTGGCTGACCTGGACCTCGGGAAGTGAGCATAAACTGTGATGGTGAGCGAGCTCTCGTGACTGAAACAAATGACCCTCAGGGGCGTGGGTGGCAAGGTGTGGGGCAGCCAGCCAAGTGGGGCTGGTTGCCAGCTGCCTGCCTGCCTCCCACCCCCACCCCTCGTACTGCTTGGTGAGATGGCTGGCTTGAGCTGGAATGGGCCTGCTGGAGGGCCTTTCCTGTGGGTCCCAGGGAGAGTTCCAGATAGTTAGAGGTCAGGGAGGGAGGGAGAGAGGGAGGTGTGGGAGAGAACAGGGAGGGCCAGGGAGACGGGCGTGTGTGCCTGTGCACCTGATCTGGTCAGGGCAGATGCAGAGGAAACCGGCTTCAGAGAAGTCGCCTTGACCCAGGAGCGGCAGGAGTCGTCTACAGGCACACGCACGGGCGCCCTGACCCAGCTGAGGTGGAGTGAGTCTCCTTCACACAGGTCCCAATCGGGGCCGTTGAGGGGACCCTGGCTGTGTTTGAGCTGCGGGGTGTGGGTGGAGGAAGAGCGTGCATTGTTGTCTGCCCGTTGTCTGGATTCCCTTAGTGTCTGAGGTTCCCTCAGGCAATGCAAATTCCACCTTTCTCGAGCAAAGAGCCCTTGCCCTGGAACCAGGCAGGCCAATCCTGTCAGAGGTTTGGCCCTTTTGCGGCTGCTGTGAGTGGAGCATCTTTGCAGGGTGACCAGGACCGTTTGGGGAGTGGGTGGACGGGAGGATACCTGGGTGCGCGTTCCTCTTCCTTTCACCTTTTCAGAACTTTTGCCTTCCAGGTTTCACGAACAGGAGCCTCCTCACTTCTGTCCTGTGGTCAAGATCCCTACAAGCCACAGAGGGGGGCAGCTGGGGACCCGTCCGTCTTGGTGCTTGCAAACAAGCAGCTCAGATCATCCTCCTCCTCCTCCTCCTCCTCCTCCTCCTCCTCCTCCTCCTCCTCCTCCTCCTCCTCCTCTTGGGCGGCGTCCAGCGCTTCCATTCCCAGCCTCAGGGCATGGCTGCTGAGAGGCCAGAGAGAGCCAGTGGGGAGAAAGAGGGAGCCCAGAACAACAAGGAGGAGGAGGAGAAGGAGGAGACAAATGTGTTCCTGCCCTGGGAAGACAACTGGAGACCCTGGCCGAAAGCCCGGCGCAAGGTGCACGGTAGGAGCCTGGGAGAGGCCACCCAGCCTCAAGCATAGCTTCCACATTGGTGGCCCCAAAGTTGGAGGCTCTCCAGATGTTGCTGTTTCCCCAGAGGTGGTGGCCTCTCCCTCCATCCTTGAAAGAGGTTGGCATTACAATGGCCGGGCCTCTCTTTTGCCCCTAATTCCCAGCCTCTGCTGCCCTCTGCAGGTTGCCTGGAGTGCTTCAAGCGGCAGCTCTTCCGAGTCGGGGAC